GGTAATTGGGCCATGAGGTCTTTACCCTTTTTGATTGAATAGACACTGTCATAAAAGGAAGAGTATGGGTCCCTTTTGCTCTCTCCCTTAACCTTATGTCTTCTGCCATAAGATGAGGCAGGACAAAAGCCCTCACCAGATACCTGTGCTTTGAAATTAGACTTTCCGGCTTCCAGAACTCTGAGAGATAAATGAATAGTTTTCAGTATACTGTTAGAGCAGCATAAATAGACTAAGCAGTGAACAAAGGATAAGAAGGATAATGCCTGAGATTCTAGGTGGCATAGACAACTGGGTCCAAAGAAAAGAGTGATTTTTTTGGATCGGGGCAGGCCTGGGTTTGCTCCTTTGCATACTTTCCTGTGTGACCTGCCACATTAATTACTCTACTGAGACTGTGACGTCTCTATTTTAAAGTAATCATTAAAGTAGGATTTTGGGGGATCAATGTAGACTGGGGTTTCACTCTTGAGTTCTGAACAGACTGAGTGAGGTTAATTCAATCATCAGCTTTAGTAGTGAAAAGGCATTGGAAATAAGGCTTACTAATAGTCCTGTCCTAGGTCCATAAGAAAAATGTGAGTTGTGGAAATACAATTCACCTCAGTATCTATGGCATTGTTTTATTTGTGTGGATGATTGGTAAGCCTTAGTTTTCACTCCTCTCTCCCAATCAGATTTTGAACATCCAGTATATCAGCTGAAATGAGCATATTGACTGGGTTATACAGAACTATGAGTGCCAGAATGAGAAAAAATTTCCTAGGAGGTACCTGCCCATGGCCTTTGGGGCTATTCTGACCCTTAGTCAGTGACTCTTTGGGACCAGGTAGGAAAGAGCTGTCTTAATGCTGGGCAGAGGGATTGTTCACAGCAAATGTTTAGGAACCTACTTTATGGAGATATTGGTTCCTAGCAATAATGCCAGCATGTACCTTTCCTATATATTTACTAGTTTGATCTGTTAGATTGAATTAGGTTCTGGCTGAGTTCCTTTTGTAAGCATCAGAGAAAGAGGACACCATCTAAAAAAGGCTACTACATACCATGTGACTCAGAAAGATTAGACTTACTTTATCTACTTGGAAACATTTGTAAGATTTCTGAAACCTTTCAAATTTCACCCCTCTTTGCTATTGTTATTACCATCTGTATGTTCTAATGATCAGCTAGAAAGCTCTTACAATGGGGAAAACAAAAACTTTTGTGTATGTATGTATATTTTCTATGACAACCAAGAGGTGTGTGTGGCGGGGGGGGGAACTGTGATATAACTATTGCTGTCAGGTTGGTGGGGAATCCCAGAGGTGAGAGCTGCTCAGTGCATCCTGCAGCCTGAATCTCAGAAAGACAAAAGAGCAAAAACAGAGTGGTAGAGATAATGGTGGGGAAGGATAGAGAAATTACTCTAGATTCTTAATAAACAAAAGACACGTGTATAAGTCTCTCGAATGTAGCTAGGAAATTAATGCTTGTAACATTCAAGAATTTTTTTTAGAAATTCCAAATTTAAAACATTACAGATATGCTAATCTTGGGTAAGAGTCCTGAATCAAGTGGATTGATTAATGTGGAAATTCATTTATAAGTCTTATATATCAGAAAGTAAGTAAGATTTGTGAGTTGTTTAACAATGCTCAATATATATAAATTGAATTGAATACATACATAGGTATATATGTAATCAATTTTTTATATATTGAGCATTGTTAAACAACTCACAAATCTTACTTTCTGATATATAAGACTTATAAATGAATTTCCACATTAATCAATCCACTTGATTCAGGACTCTTACCCAAGATTAGCATATCTGTAATGTATATATATATATATATATATATATATATATATATATATATATATATATTCTTTTTTCCTAGATCATCTGACTGCCAGTTATTTCAAGAGTGGCAATTAAGAAAAGAAAAACAGTTTTTCCCAAGGTTTAGAATCCACTAAAACTTGTGGGTTGAACATTTTACCCAAATATAGGCCTTTTAGTGATTAAGTGAATTTACTCTTTTCAAACTGTAACATCCTGTTTATAAGAAAGAAGATGTATAAAAAGTCATCTTGATCATGAACTAGCTCTCCTAAAATCCACATCTTGGTGAACTTATGTGTTGAGTCACAAGTATTTGGATGGAGATTTTCTGGTTTTTGAAAGAGAAAGTACTTGGAAAAAATGTCATTTTGGTTTCATTGAAATGGAAACATTTGAAAAATGGAATTTGCTGGTGAGCCTATCATATAACAGGTTTCCACACACATTTCTTAATCAGTTCTGTGAATTTGTGAAGCTGTATCCTCCATGGGCCAAGTCTTAAACATCCTGAAATTCATTTAGCTACCCTAATCCTTCCCATAAATGATTTTTAAAAATAAAGTTCTGCCCAAGGTAAAAATGTTAACTCTAGTTTGAAGGCAATATTGTCCCTTTTTAAAACTGTATTCCTAAAATTATTATTTGTCCCAAAAGAAAGGTGAGCCTATGTCTATGTACATGATTTAGCTAATAGAAAAATGCCCCCCACCGACTTTTAATGCTTGCCCTTTAGTATTTGAAAGCTGCCACTGTGGCCAACTATAGTTAATGTAATGTAACACTTGGAATATTTGTGCTTAATATATAGTAGCTATTTATCAGCTGTTCTTCTGAATTGGTGAGTTGAATTTTTGTGAATTGAGTAAATCCATGACCACTGTTTACACATCCCTAGATTCTATGCTGTTGATCCAAAAGTGCTCATTCCTTATTCTTTGTTTTGGTCACTGTCCAGTCCTCTATTAAGTTACTGCATTATCTCCCTTGTGATGGTCTTTGATCTTCAGAGAGCTCTGCCTTTCAATTGTCACACCAAATAATTGGTCATCGGTTCCGATGCTGCTTCTAAACTGACTCTTCTTCCCATGCCTGCCCTAAATCTGACAACAATTTTCAGCTAGATCATAACAAAAGTTTCTCTTGGGGCTTTGCTGTCAATCCTTCTCTGTCACTAAGATCTTTCTGCTCATAGAGTCAAACACGAATATAGGACCAAGCTCTCTATAACCTTTTACTGACTTGCCATTGTGTTAGGATCAAGTCTTTACAATCTGACATGACCTACTTTTCTAAATTCCAGGGTTCTCCCTTCTACTCCCTATTCTCCACTCATTTGGAGTTTCATCAACTACAAAAATCCTCTGACTAGACCATATGTTTTCAAACTGAAATTTTTTTTTTTGTCATTGTGACCAAGAGACCTGAAAAGAATTTTAGAGGAGAAAAAGGTTTTTGGGGCTCATGATTTCAGAGGTCTCAGTTCATTGACAGGTAACTCCATTGCTCTGGACCAGAGACAGAACATCATGGAAGAAATGTGTTTGTGGAGGAGGAAATCTAACTCAGGATATGGTAATCAGGAGACAGAGAGCGAGAGCGAGAGCGAGAGAGAGAGAGAGAGAAAGCACAAGCTCACCAGAGCATGCGCTCAGCTTACCAGGGACAAAATATAAACCACAAAGGCACACCCCCACTGACCTACCTCCTCCAACCACACCCTACCTCCTACAGTTACTGCCTAGTTAATTCCTATAAGGGGATTAATTTGTTGATTGGGTTACAACTCTCATCATCTAAACATTTTGCTTCTGAACCTTCTTGCATTGTTCCCCACATGAGCTTTTGGAGGAACACCTAAAACCATAAACACCTAAACCATAGCAGGAATATTCCATGTTTGGGTACTCAGTACTTAAGACTCGATTTCTCTCCCTCTCCCTCTTCCAGAAGTAGAATTCCTTTCTCCAGTGTCCTCTCATAGCACTTTTTAATTCTTTTTTTGCCATTACTTGATGTATTCCATTGTGGTTTTCCATGTGAGGCTTTCTTAGGCTAAATTCTGCTTTTCTAAAGACAGGGACTTAATTCTTCACTGGTGAAAATAAGCCACGATTTTAGTATTAGGAATTTAATATGTATTACTTTTAATATGTGTTGAATAAAGAATGAATACTTGAGTTTGTCAGGATGAACCCAAGTGCTATATACAATTATAAAGTTCTAATAAAAACATATATGTATATACAAATATATATGTGTTCGTATGTGTGTATATATATTTATATGTGTGTGTATATATATATATATATATTTGTGTGTGTGTATAATTTAGGAAAATAAAGGAAAAATTTTGAGTGTACCTAAAAATGTCCCTTTAAAATAAAAGATTGTGTTGAAATATATACAGATTTTCATAGGTGAAGTTATTGTACCAAATAAATGGAGAATTCCCTCAAGGGTGAGAGTAGAGGAAAAGACCTCCTTTGCCAAAATCTTCCTTGAGAACTAGGGATTTCAATTTATGAAAAATACGGGAATTCCTTTGAAAAGTCAGAGAATAATGAATGGCAGAATTACCTGAAAATTGCTGTTTGTTCTCAATCAATCTATGAAGGTGTTATTTCTGGCACTGGTTATCAATCCAATTGATTGTACTAATGACTTTGAAATAAGAACCATCACTGGAGTTGCTCACTTTCTGTTCAGTTCGGTCATAAATCAATTGGGTAGCATGTATTTATTGGCAGTAAGGTAAAAATATAAAGTAGTTGCATTCCCAGAAAAAGTATACGCTCTATTTTCTACTTGTTACACTAGAAATGGAAAGAGACATTAGTATACACATGCAATAATTAAGTGCTGGATTAGTTAAGACTGATTACAGTAAATAACATGAAAAAGAAACTTGGAACAAAGAAAAATCACTATGACTCAGAAAGTAATGAAAGGTCTCACTAAGAAGTACTTATTTCACCTGATCTTGAAAGACATAAGGATTACATGAGTGAAAATGAGAGTTCAATGTGAAGAAAAAATATGGATCAATTTGATAACAATATTAGATTTCTATGTCATGCAAGCCAAGGGTCAGTTGATAATTTTAGCAAATATCTAGATTGTTTACTTTTAGGAATATGAAGTTATTTTGTTCTACTTTGTTTTTCTCTTACAGGCGGATCAGATATTGAGTATCTAGACTTCTACAAGCCTGTTGTGTGGTTTTGGATACTTGTAGGGCTTGCTTACTTTGCTGCTGTCCTGAGCATGATTGGAGATTGGCTCCGAGTGATATCTAAAAAGACAAAGGAAGAGGTGAGAATGAAGAAGTGTGGAAAACACTTCTATTTGGTTCATTCAGTAAAGGTTAACTTTTAAAATATGTACATTTTAAAATATTTAAGCATTATTTAAGATTTTTAATATATGCATTTGGTGTTAATTTGATGTATGAGGCAAAGGAAAAATATATCGTAGTTATAATTCATCACTTAAAAATATTTACTACACATCTTTTATGTGCCAGATGCTAAGATCTGAGGTTAATTTGTAATGGAAAAAGATGAATGGAAATATTTTCTTAATTTTTTTGTTTTCTTTTTTTCCTCAAGGGTACAAAGTGAATTTTATTCTTTTAAGAAACAATATAATGGAAAATATTTATTTAAAGATATCTTAAGTATGAAATAGTAAATGTTTTATATAATGCTGACAGTTTTTGCTCTGTTCAGTTCATATTTCTTATGACTTTATAAATGTGTACATGAGGACATATGTCCACACACATATTTATTCCAAAGCTTTATGCATTATGGTCATTTCTTCTGTGTACATATTTCAACTGTCCAGAAAGATGCCCTTTTGTTTATTTTGTATATATATAGAAATGGACGTTAGAATTTTAATAACACAAAATTTTGAAAAATTTAAAATTGAAATACTGCTTTTGAAATGGTATTTCTTAGAAATTAAATTTTGATTTGTGTGTGTATGTGTATGTGGTATTGAAGGTCTAATCCAGAACCTGTAAGCACTATAACATGAGCTTTATCCCTAGCCCTTTTTTATTTTGTTTTGAGACAGGGTCTTGTTAAGTTGCTGAGGCTGGCCTCAAACTTGTGATATTTCTGTCCTACGATCATAGGTGTGTGCCATCACACCTGGCTTAAGTTTCTTATTTACATGTCTATAGGTACTATAAGTTGGAGTATGAATGAGTAGTATTTTTTTTTAATGAATTCTGTACTTTTTACTTTGGGCTCTTCGTCAACTTTGAGAGAATAACAAATCTGTAACATCAGCACCTCTACTACTCATTGTCTTCCTTTAATTTTCTTCTCCATTTCATTATCTGCTATTCATAGACCGCAAGACACCAGGATCAAATTTTTGCCACACACACAGGTTCTTTAAACATATACTCGCCAAAAATGAAATTAGATAATTAATAATGAAATTAATTTCTATCTACAAAACGTTTCTTCCATATTTTAAATTTGTACAAGTTTTAAATAAATACCAAGATACCTATAGTTACTGGCAAGAGTTTAATTTATCCAATGCTTCCTTTCATATTTCCCAGCTAGGAAATCACTAACTTAGTCTCTATGTATTAACCTGTATATTAATTGTACCATAAAATCAAAATTGTTTTATTATAAACAAATCAGCAAGACAGTATGCCGGATATGCTAGCTTAAAAAGTCTTCTTTTGAATGGACCTGAGTATGGATACCCCTTAATCAGGTTTACTCTGTGTGTGCGTGTGTGTGTGTGTGTATGTATATGTGTGTGTGTGTGAGAGAGAGAGAGAGAGAGAGAGAGAGAGAGAGAGAAATGGTTATTCTAACTTCATGGGCACATTTAAGGATCTTGATATGCTAAGGAATAAAAGGAACTTGTAGCTAGAATATGTTTTGGGTAACAGTGGAAATGAGAACTGCTCAAACATCCAGCCATAAAAAAGTGACTTTCAAAGGAATTTAAACACACACACATAAATTCATTTCTTAAGTAAAACAGCCTTTACCAGAACATATGCAATATAGTTTGATAATTAGGAAAAATCTTATTTGGTGATACACACATATGTGTAGGATAAATATATTCTGTGTTACGTACATATCCACTAACACTGTGGATCAAAGTCATAAAGTGTGAAAACCACTAAGGCATATGTAATACAGGGGGAGAGCATTCAGTCTTGATCAAATTGGCATAGAATATTTGATTGAAGTTTGAAATCTGCATCAGTAAGAAGCAGTGGTTTTTTTTTTTTTTTTGTGATAGGACAATCTGGTATAAAATATTAGCACACTTTTCCAGAGTAATGAGATCACCATCTGTAATAGTCTTGGGCTGTTACAACAAAGTACCATGGACTGGGGGCATGAACACACATTTATTTTCTCAGTTCTGAAAACTCTTACACTGGCAGGGCTGGTTCCTGTGAGGGCTTACTCCTTGGCTTGCAGATGGCACCTTTTTACTGTGTCCTCACATGACCTTTCCTCTGTGCCCATTTCTGGAGAGCAATTCCTGTGTCTCTTCCTCTTATAAGACACCAGTTTTATTGGATCCGGGCCCCAGTCTTATGGCCTCATTTAACCACCTTCTTAAAAGTGCTCTCTCCAAATACAGTCACATTGGGGGTTGTGGCTTCAACATATAAATTTTGAGAGGAATAATTCAGGCCAAGACACTGTTCTTTCAAATAAGTTTATACTTCTGCATAACTGGTTTAGTATATATGAAAAGCAAGGTCGTGTACCCACTTTTGAAGGATCACTATGACTTTCGGCTGAAGTATGAGTGTGTTTTCATGCCAATTAAACATGGAGAAGAAGGAAACTTTTTTTTTTTTTTGTCTTACCACAAATCTTTTGGCATCTACCTAGTGTTTTGAGTAACATGTACTTTCTGGTAATTGCATCTGTAGAAAGCTCTCATGAGTAAAGGGCATGACCAAAAGTTTATGTGAACCCTCTGAAGCTGCAGCTGCTCTGGATGGCTGAGACAGTTGAAATAGAATTTTCAATTTGAGCAGATGTGTATTTTCTGATTTATAGTGCAATTTAGGGAAATGCAGAATGGGGCTACAAATTCAACAGAGTGTGAAAAAACGAAAGGGAAAGACAATTTAGAATTTATCTGAAGATTATTTGGGACAAAAATTTTATAAATGAAATACTACTCAGATTTTTTATAGCAATGGATAAAAATATTATTCAATAATTTTGACTTTGAAATAACCCAATCAAAGGTATAATTAAATTAAAACCAACTAAATGTACCTTAGTTGTCATCTTTACATGGATGAACTGGTGCCAGGTGACTGTTCAGTATGTATTCCTTACTTTTTGTGCCTCAACCATTCGAGATATTCCATCTTTTAAAATTTTTCATAATTTTCAGAAGTAATAGGTTATTTCTTTTTGGCATGGGGGATCAAACCTAGGGCCTCACACATGCAAAGCATGGCCTCTACCACTGAGCTGCAACCCCAGCCCAAAAGAGTATTTCTAGTTCTCAGTTTTTAGAAATAAAAATGCTAAAAAATTTAATAACTGAGGATCCTCTACATACACACCTGCGCGCGCACGCGCGCACACACACACACACACACACACAGAAAGAGAGAGAGAGAACACAGATGTAACTAGTATAGAATATAAAAAAGAATCAGATTCCCAAGTGATATTACTAAGACACATACATTCCCTGAATGAAAAGATTCAGGCTAATGAAAAAAATCCCAGTCTTATGCTATTTTTTCAGAAAGAAATCTGTTTTAACCATGTTAGTAAAATATACTCATACAAAGCTAATCATATGGGGCCTTATTTCATTTTTAAATGAAACATATGCTATTTTCAATGAAGAGTACTTTTAATAAAGTTATGATGTTTGAAAGTTAGGAAAAATACTGTTTTCTGTCAATATGATGAAATAAAACATGTTGATATAGCTAATACATCTGAAATATTTGAAGAGCAAATGATTAGACAGAAAAACACTATATGGTTTCAGAAGTGCCACACATAACTATAGTTATCTGCATTCCTCAAGGAAACAATAACAAACTGAATAACTTTTCCCTGGAGACATGCATTTCTGAAAAGTGTTTGTCTCGTTATGTTTAAAGTTCTAACGGGAAGTAGGAATATGTTTAACAGTAAAGATTAATGTAACTAGCTATCTTTTCTATAAGCCTATGTACTGTCCTCTGAGGAAATGATGGTTCCATGTAGAAGATAAAGATTATTTAGGTGTTCTGCATAACACACTATAACTGCTTCCTTAGGCAGGTGTAATGAAAATAAGATGGGTTGTGGCTCAGCGGTAGAGCATTTGCCTGGCATGTGGAAGACCCTGGGTTTGATCCTGAGCACCACATAAAAATAAACAAAGATATTGTGTTCATGTATAACTAAAAATATTTTAAAAAATGTAACCACAAAACTGAGGTGATACCTCCACTTGCTTAAGAAGCAAGCAGGGAAGAGTGTGTCCTTGTTACACGGAGGCCTTGCTCAAGTTACATGTGGTTTACATTTCTTGTGGTTGAGAACTGTGATGTGTTATGTACTGCCCAGATCCATTTCAATGCACCACAGTGTTTGGTATGTTTCTGTGTCCATACGAGATAAACACCAGCAAAGCCCCTACCACAGCTTGCTAGGCCTGTCAGGCTGTCTGGCAAAAGATCCAGCCACAATGAATGTAGCACCAAGCAACACTTTTTTATTATATTATTTCTTTAGTATGGAGATGCATATGCAACCAGAGACACTCACTCTAAAGAGCTGGCTTTATATCAAAGTAAGGAAAAACCATTTTTCTGGAGAATCCTAATGCAAAGAAACCTTGAAAAACTATTCCTGCTCTGACCCCAGTATGCTGAAGGGAGCTGGGAATGTAGAGAGGCATAGTTTTCTTCTGTTGGTTACCTGATGACAGTAGCATTGGTCTTCCCTGAACTTCACTCATCATAACAGTGACCCTTTCAGTGAAAGAGCTGCTCTTTATCTTGGCCAGAAATTAGCAATTTGAGAACAGTCACAGTCTGAGCCTGGAAATTTTGCAATAGAATATGTGTGATTATCCTTTCTTATAGGAGATGTACTTTAAATATGAAAGATTTTATATCCCATTTTGAAATAGCTTAAAACCTTAGGGAACTCTTAGAGGATTTTAAGTAAGCAGAATAGATACTCTTGGCAGCAGTGAGAAACAAAGGTTACAAGGAAACAGAGCTGGATGCAGAGAACTCAGTTGGGAGAGATTATTTCAGGAATCCAGGTAATAGAGAACTG